AATTAAATTTATGCTTGACAATGGAATAATCGTCCATCAAACTCCCAGTGGTCAAGCCCCTTGCACCTTGTTACGAAAAAGGATGGTTCATATCGTCCTTGCGGAGACTACTGACGATTGAATGCGCAGACGATACCTGATCGATACCCAATTCCTCGCATTGAAGATTTTCATCATATTTTAAGAGTTACAAATATTTTTCTAAAATTGATTTATTCAAAGCTATTTTCAAATTCCCATTGCAGAAGAAGACAAATGTAAAAACGGCTATCATCACTCCTTTCGGTTTATACGAATTTAATGTAATGAGTTTCGGTTTAAAAATGCTCCTGCAACGTTCGAAAGATTTATTCACTTTAGAGGATTAGAATTCGTTTTTCCTATTTAGACGATATACTCATTGCATCCAGTACCCATGAAGAACACGAAAATCACCTTAAATAGTTTTCGAAAGATTACAACATTTGGGTTAAGAATTAATGTTTCAAAATCTGTCTTTGGCTGTTCCCCAAATCGAGTTTCTAGGTACCTATTACACCTAAGGGTTCCCGTCCTTTGCCAGAAACAGAGTTCAAGCTATTACTAACTACAACGACCAGAAACAATTCATGAACTTAGAACCTTCTTTGGAATACTTAACTTTTATCTTCGTTATATAAAGGATGCAGCGAAGAATCAAGCATTGTACATGCGTATCTCAAGGGAGCTAAAAAGAGGGACAAACGTAAAATCGAATGGACTGAAGAAGCTGAAAAAAACAGTTTGAAAACGTGCAAGAATGACCTGGTGAACACAGCACGGTGTCTTTTTCCAATTCTGAACTACCCTCTGGCTTATTTACAGATGCTTCAGATACTGCGATTGGCTCAGTGTTGCAACAATATGAAACTCCTCGTGGAAGCCAATAGCATTTTTTTCTAAAAAATTAAGTGATACTCAGCAAAAATATAGCACCTGATAGATAGAGAACTATTAAGCATATATCTTTCAGTTAGACACCTTTAAGCATATCTAGAAGGAAAGAGTATTTACAATTTATGCAGATCACAAGCCCTTAATATTCGCCTTTCGTCAAAAACTTGACAAAGCAGCACCTAGACAGGCTCGCCAACTTCAATACATCTCCCAGTTTTCGACTGATATCAAATATGTAAAAGGTGAGAATAATATTGTGGCGGATACATTATCTAGAGTTAATGAAATTTCATCGATAGATTATGATAAAATAGCTGATGAACAAACTCAAGATGAAGAACTGAAGAGTTTGCCAAGTAAGGAGCCAAGAAGAGGAACGCCAAGTAAACTCATTAGTGATCGTGGATCCCAATTTAAAAGTGATACATTACGAGCTTTGTCCAAAATCTGTGGCATCAATTTACAACACACTACTGCCTACCACCCCTTGTGTAATGGCAAAGTTGAGCGCCTTCATCGAACATTAAAAACAGCATTAAAAGCCCACAACAACATATCTTGGACGGACACGTTACCAACAGTACTTTTGGGTTTGCGTACTGCTATTCAAGAAGATACCCAATCATTCTATTGCACAAGTAGTTTATGGCCAGAGTCTCAGACTTCCTGGAGAGTTTTTCAGCGAACCAAGTATCCAGACAGCATCGGAGACTTTTGCTAATAAACTCCAGAAACAGATGGAAGTTGTTGGACCGAGACTAATTCGTAAAAATTCATCTGAACAGATATTTGTACATAAAGACTTAAAAACTTGTTCTCATGTGTTTCAGCGAATAGATCGGGTAAAAAAACCTTTGGAACCTCCTTATGAAGGACCATTTCCTGTTATTGATCGCAAGGACAAATATTTTACTATTAGCAAAAAGGAAAACATGTTAATGTATCCCTGGATCGCTTGAAACCAGCATATATTTTAGCTGAGGAAAATTCTCAGTTGATACAACCTGACTACCCTAATTTGCAGAGACCGGACTCAAATTCGGATGTGAATCAAAAACATTCTAGCACAGGCAGAACTATACGTTTACCTGTTAGATTCAAGGACTGACTAAATTATTTTGATAGTGGTTAACACTGCAATACTAGTTACTACCTATTTCTCCATCTTCGTAACGTAACTTAGTTACTGGTAGGGGAGTAGTGTAGTGGCCCAGTTATTGCATGAGAAATAATTATTTTTTATTTCGTATATTTGTTCATGTGTTTAATTATTTTATAAAATTAACTTTAATATTTTTGTTAATATTCATATTTATATTTCTTTTATGCTGAATGCCAATAAGTAGTTCATATTTATATTTAAATTTCTTTATGCTGAATGGCAACTAGTTCTAGTTCTGATTCATGATTGCTAGGTTTTGGTTTCAAAACGTTGCTCGTAGCATCGCATTTCGATAGCCGGAAAATAAAATGCAATAACTTAGCTATTTGTTTATAATTCATGCTGTTACTAGTCATAAATTAATTTTAAACATTAGTAGCCAAGGCTACAAATTTAATTCTCAGAGGTACATAAACTTTTTGGCTCCCAGAACCCTTAGGCCTACTCTATGTCTTTACAAGTTCATATTATTTAGTAGTGATAATGAGAAGTAAAGGGGATAAATACTAAATATGAAAGCAGATTTAACAACAGCATTGTATCATTGCAATGCAATTATTTTAAAAGCTTCAAAATTTAAGATATATTTTTTTATTCTCAAGTACCAATCAATCAAGACCAATGGTCAGTAGCATAGCTAGAGGGGGCAAAGGGGGAGGGACATCTACCAATAGATGCACCATCTAGGAAGCACCAAATTGCCATTACAAAACTTTAGAATTAAAGGTTTTCCATTCTTAGCAAACCGGGGGGGGGGGGGGGGAGCAAAATCTTCAGTTGTCCCTGGGTGCTGAAAATCCTAGCTATGACTCTTCACATGGTTTTATCAAAAGTTTGTCAAGCACAAAAGTTATTTCAAAATTTTGTAAATCAAACCATTTGCATTACAACATATTATTGGTGAGAGCAGTTAAATAAATCAAACCATTTGCATTACAACAGACTATTGGTGAAAGCAGCAATAAAAAAAGACCAATAGAGTAATCTTCAGTTTAATTATTATATCCAATTAAATTAAAGCAAATATTCTTTCATTATTTGCTATTTAAAATTTATATTATTCCTTACAGAGAATAATTTCAATTTAATTTTACTAACTAGAGGGCACTGTACACAACATTAGGCCTAAATTATAACACATAAATGTTTACTGACACACACTGCAATTTTTGGCCTACTTATTTTAAGTTCCACTTATTTTTGGCCTACTTATTTTAAGTTCCACTTATTTTAAGTTCTACTGACGATAACTGCACATGAAAGCTGCCTCTGCATTTAAGGAACTTTAATTTTTTTGTTTAGTACGTGCAAAAGTGTTAAATCCCACTTCACAAAGCTATGTAGTTAAGACAGGCAGCAACAATAATTTTGCCTTCTCATTAGATATTTAATTCATCGTGTACATGCTGCCAAACTTTCAGTAGATTTTGGTCTTGAAACATGATTTTTAGTTAGCTGTAAGATGTCAAATCTGTAAAAATCCTACATCTGCTGAATTTAAGCTATGTGATTTTATATTCACACTGAATTCATTCAGAACCCATTTAAAACCATGAGGTACCTTCTCTTAAGTTGTTGGAAAACAATATTCAAGCAAGCCTTTGAAATCTTCAAGACGCTCGTGAATATATTTCTATATTTTTTCTTAAATTTGGGTGTTATTTTCATTCAAGAAATTTTTTGTAAGAGCGAGGCAATCAATACCTTCCTTTTCCATGCATTTTTAAGCAATACATGAGTAATCTTTTAAAAGAAGATGCTCAGATGTTTGCATCAAAAACTGTGCCATTTTCCTTTGCAATGATAGATTAATTTCATTCAACTTGCTAAAAATTCATCTAGCATGCCAGTTTGCATACGAGGGCTTCATCATTTAACAACTGTCAATAGTATTATGGTCCATTGAAGATGTTGCTCCCTCTGCATGCAGTTCAATCAAATGTGTTAACGACAAACCACCTTATGTCAGCATGCAGCAGGAGAGACTAATAAGGAGTTCCCAATCTTCAGGCATTAGTTTGAAGAGAGGTGAGGATTTTATATAGTTTATTATTTTTATAGCACCATTTAACCCTCTCAGCGTTACGGCCGGAAAATTCCGTACAGAAGGTTGCCTTCCACATTCATTATACATGAAAATTTTCTGCTAGCTTTTAATGTATCTGATTTCAGTTTGGATGTATATTGGAAGAAAAGGAATCAAGGTACAAAATGAAAGAGTCATTTTTTTAATTAAAATCAAGAAAATATCACTTATTCATGACATTTTTGAGGAACTTTGAAATTTCAGGGCTAAACCCGTAACGCTAAGAGGGTTAAAACTATTATAAGCTCAGACAGCACTTTCCTTGAGACTTGGTGCATGCCTATTAATTATATATAAAGTATAAAAACCCACATGTACTTGAACATATCACTCGCAGACAAGCCTTCAATCATAAAACAACATGAAATATTTTAGGGGGACAGGGAAAATTCAACTATGGAAAACATTTTTCTGTTAGCTACTTTGTACCCCTTTCTACAGTAGCTACTACTATCCATGGCATTTAAGTTTTATACATTTTTATTAAAATTCGTCACATGAATAAAATTGTTCCTGTATGCAGGTCCATCTAATTTGATTAATTTTCTAAATTAATATTGAGGTTATGATTAATGATTCAAGAGCTATTTAGTTAAGCAGTCTTTCTAGAACCCCCTACATATTTTAAAACTTAAAATTTTTAACAACATTTCACAGTCCCAAAATACATAAAAATAATGTACAACTCTAGTTTCAGATAAAGAAAAATTCTAGTTTCTGATTCTAAAGGAAGGAGTTGCTTATAAACCTAGTAACAGTATTTATTAACAACATTATCATGCACAATATTATCATGGATAATTAAAAACAATTTTTAATATATGCTAATATAAGTACCTTCTGCAACATTTTCTCCACTTTCAGCAGATGATTTCTGCTTATCTGATTCAAGATTAGACATTTTAGAAGAGGTCTCAGATTTAGAACTATGTTTACACATAGCATGTTTTGCACTATGCAAAAATAATTCAAACTTTTTATCCAATTCTTTCTCACGCTGTTTTTTCTCAGCTGCTTTCAATCTACCTAAAATAAGGCAAAAAGACTACAAAATTTATAATGGTTAGAGAAATTTAAATACGTTATATCTCCTTTAAAAAAAATCTTTCATAAAAATGTCAATGAAAACTTAAACATCAATAAAAATTCAAAATAACACTTACTTTTACTCATACTTTTGCTACTCTTTTCTTTGATTGATGACTTTGATTTAGATTCCTTTTTTGCAGAGAATTCCTTAGAAGCTAGATATAAAAATACACTTAGGACTATCTTTGATTAAAAATTTATTATCACTTAAAAAAATTAAATAGTACTTTATAAACAGATATTTATGAGTAATTGCATCAAACACTCCTAAAAGTAATGATTTTATAATAGAAAACTACTTTTTTCCTTTTTATAACTCCCCCACCCCACCCCCACAATTTTTATTTTTTAACTACTTGCCCTAAATGTTGATCTAACTAGGTACATACGTTATTACCAGTGAAAACAGCAAGAGAATATTAACACCTTGAAAACAACAATTGTTTATTGCTTGAGAATTGCTCAATTTCCAGTTTTCAGGTAGTATAATATGAAATAAACAGTATAAATGCAAAAAGATCCAACTTCAGTTAGGATTTTGACAACAAAATACAAATCTCTGGTAATATTTACATGTACATTAAAAAAATGTTATGTTATGTATTTAATTATGGCAAAGCACACTAGGGCTATCTGCCTAAGGGGAGGGATGCCTTCGTGGAGGACTTTTTAAGGGAAACTGGCTCGTATACACGTTACACATGGGGAAAACCAGGAAACACCCATGCAGCCAGCCCATTCATGGGATTCGAACCTCGGACCGAACTACCAGTGTTCAGCGACTTTACCGCTCGGCCGCTGGTGGGCCCATTAAAAAAATGCATTAACCACTTGCGCTACGACTAAACTTCACAATTGTGGTGCCGTGCACTACAATATAACAAGCAATAAAGTGTCTCATTTACGCCGCTCCGCAATTGCAATCCAGAGCTGTAACTTGTAAAATAACCAATCTCGTTGTTAGGCAACGTGTGCACCATGTTATTTTCATTTTTACGATAAATGCCTATCGACGTAGTGTTCACATCGCTCGCGGTTTGAGACAAAAGCATCTCGACGTGCGCGGCACGGCTTTTTAGCGCAAGTGGTTAAATCCAATACTTAATAAATTTTTATTTTACTGATACTTGGTTACTTAATTATTTCTCTCATGTATTTTTTCCTCTTGCATTTTTTACAACATGGTTTAGAAACTTCTGATTAATTCTGCATAACTTTCAACTTAACTTCATAAACATATTTTCTGATTTGTATAATTTTTAATTTAATTTCCTAAATTCAGAAAGCCCATCATAAGAATGACTAATTTCTGGAAATCCTCAGATTGCTGATTTTTGCAAATGGATTTCAAGGTCGTTCATTCGTCGTAATCATTACTAGCAATAAGAGTCTACAGATTTAAATTATACAGCTTAAAAAATTTGCTCTTACCTGCAATCCAAGTAATAGATGATATGCAATGTAATTTTTAATTGAATTAATAATTAGCAGCAATATTAACACTCTAATTTCTCCATGCTCTTTAATATCATACAGTTGGGTTGGTCAAAAATCATGGCAGTAAGAGATGAATGTTAGTATTCAAGGAAGTTCAAGAGCCACATTTGGATTTTCCAGAGTGGTAATTTCATATTTAAAATAATGAAATACATTTTGGATGGAAAGAAACATGTGAAGTAAATTATTAGAAATACACATAATACAAATAAATTACATATAATGATGATATAAATACAAATGAGTAATTCTTATTCCTGCAACTCTATACTCAGGGATGTTTGCTCCTGCGTTACAAAAATTTGAAACTATCATATGACTCAGTCTTTTATTCACACATATTTATATAAATTTGAAACTATTTTACAATATATGTACGATATATTACAAAAAATTATTTTACAATAATTTTTAGACACGAGTTTTCTCATTAAATGCTCTTGGTTTCCTCAATAAATGCTGATCTGAGATTTTGTTTTTTCTAAAAGCCCTTAATATTTTTTCCTTCCCTTTTATTCCTCTTGTTATTCTTATTTGAGGGTCACTTACTTGAGTTTTCTAAAGTATGGCATTTTGAAGTGATGAATGTTTGGAGTGGAGTCCACAGGCTTCTGAAAATATGACTGTAGAAAATCAAAGATCATACTTCAGAATTGAATGTTTCATTAAATCATTATACTCAGAACACCAACAAAATTTCACAGTGCTGTGAGTGAGGTTTGTAGAAATCAGGCAGTGGATCGTAGTACAGTCTTCCACTGGGGTATTTGTGCTCTTCAGGGACTTTTCAGAGGTATGAATGATTAAAGGTCAGGTAGGTCACAGACATCAAGAGAAGCACAATCTTCAAATTTATACTATGCATTCTGTATAAATCATTTCATACTAATGACAATTATGGGATGATGGAATTGAATTAATCTGGAAAACAATATGATAGATAAGGTATTTGCATTTAGCCAATGTAAATTACCATGAAGCTTGACACAAAATAATAATTCTTCTTAGTTCAAATCAATATTAGTCGATATCAATATTTTACCAACTTCTAAATTTAAGATATGTTTGTCTTTCATGCAGAACCACCAATGGTAATATTTTACTGTATTTTGAATGTTACAAAGATGTACATACAAATAACTTTTATATTACTAGAAATTCTCTTCTACAGTGTAAAAATGGGTAAATGTCTTTTTGGATTATCTCTCATAAATTCATAAATAAAGAAAAGAATATCCATATTAAACAGCTGCGAAAGAAAATAAACATTTTTGTTTTAGCAAAGAAAAATAAGGGACAGTTGGGAAAAAAATACAACTTAGCCAAAGACGGTATATAATTTGCCTTTGAACAAAAGACAAAAATTAAATTTCTGCTTTGAATATAAACACTTCATACACAAAAATTTTTTTAACTACTTCAGTGAAAAATGTTACTAAAAGCAAAGTATGAAATTTTTTAAGCAAGAATGAAAAAAAAAATGTAATATAAAATTATTAAAAAAATCATTTCTTAGAATTATATGCAAATATATGCTTAAATTATATCTAAAAGCATATTTCATATGTACTGTTAAGTTATTGTTCATATTTTTGTATATTGATATATATATAAATTGCATTAAGATTAAACAGATCATAATGAATCATACAGGCACACAGTAAAACTCAATTTATCACATAACTTTCATTGGAATAAAAAACCATTATTAATATAAAGGAAGCTTTCAAGCCAAAAATTTGTAAAGAACTTAATATAAATTCACATAAATAATAAAAGATATAGTGGAACCTTGCTTAACAAGCATAATTTGTTTCTGAATCTTACTCATAATGTAAAACACTCCGTAACTGAAATATTTTTTTCCATAGGAATCTGTATAAAATAGGATAATGCATTCAAAAAAAAAAAAAAAAAAACTCAAATTTTAAATTATGTAATTTATTGTTTATAATACACCCTTATTACAAGAAAAATGTCTAATGACATGTTTTTATTTACACCTCAAAAACAGATGAAAATTCAACACAGCATTATCGTTCATTTTTTTAAACTTTCTCTACTGCTTTATTAAGAGTGATACATATGATACAACAGTTTCCCATGCTTTCAGCATCTCTTATTCCACTGGAAGACTGTTACTTTGCAGAAGCTGTTATCTCCTTCTCTCATGACAAAATCTCTTCCACAGCTTCTTGCTATGACACAGAATACAGCTTCATAAACTCTTTAATCAGCTCCTAACTATGCTCTTCTACTAGCTCATAGACGTTATTGCTGTATCTACGTCTAGCCCCATAATCCTGTTTCTAAACCATTCTAATAACAATGCTCAAAGTTTCCAGCTAAGATGCAAGCAGGATGCTGCATGTTGTAATATAAGTCACAATGCATTAGGAATCACCATGATGCAAGTCACAATGTTTCCACATCACTCATTCTGTAAAACATAGTTTATTAGGAGAGACAAAAATCTTTTGACAAAGAGAAATTTCTGGCAGTCATAGCAGTAGTTGAGATATTTAGAACGCACAGTTGACATCTTTGACCGATGACTGGGTGGTGACAGTGTAACTGCATAGTAGAAGGAGGAATGAGCAGCATCTGTGCCCAACAATTTTAAAACATGCAGTTACATTTTTAAACAATGGAGAATGCCAATAAGCAGAGAGACGTGGGTTGTTCAAGTCAACAAGAAAATGTGTATATTGTGGCCCAAATTATTTGTAATCCCAGAGTGCTTTATTTTAATCCCACACAGCAACTGGGCACACGTTTTCACACTGCGGTTACTGAACAATGACATCAATGATACAGTATACATGCACTGAAGGGGTTGTATTGGGATTAAAATTAGGACTTTAAAGGACTACCCCCAATTTGTTCCATTTAAGTTTAATTTGTTGATAAATTTCCATTATATTTTTATATCTCACATATATATGCATATGCATCTGTGTAATACTTACATAAACGTAGTCGTAATGTCATAGAATAAGTTGATAGCATAGAATGCTGAAACATGGCATTTCATCATTGTGGTGAAGCAAACACTGACTGTCATGAAACCAAACTTTGAAGTACTGATGGCATAGAAACATAGAATATAGAATGCTGAATCCATAATGAACAGCAAGTTGGCAGCCGAGGCAGATTAAATATTAACCTTTATTTCAGTAACATGTTGCAGCCACGAATATCTTGGCATATTTCAAAATGTTCACATTTTTGATAGATTTGCAATAAGAAGCAGCAGGTAGCAATCCAGCTATGACAAAGTGTAGAAAGCAAGTACAGTTGTGTTCAGGTTGAAATTTTAATTCAGAATGAGTTAGTTTTGGTTTACAATGAATTTGATTAGATAATTAATACTCTGATGTAAAATTATTATTGACTTTGTTTTAATTCCATGTACATTACCAACGATATGCACAAGTCATATGACATGGAATTGTCTCAAGCCAAGGGCTTAAATTATTATTTATAGTTACAATTTACATATTTTTTAATCTTAAATACACACATTCATAAATTTTTACTTTAATATATATAAAATTTTTTCTACAAAATTGCCAAGCCATTAAAAATGTAACTACCAGATTTTTCCTTTGACTTTTTCACTTTAGCACCAGATGACCTCAGATGTGATTTAATAAGTTCTTCTGGACGAGGAATAACTTGAAAATCGCCTACTTCAATGTCTGCTTCCAATGAGTCTTGATGTAGAACTATAAAGATATACATAAAAGGAAAGAGTGTTAATTAAAACCTTCTTAACTGAAAAATAAATCCAACAGAACAATTCTTTTAGATAACTTATGAAGTGTTGTCCTTCAAAAAGTACTTGCTGATTACCTGAAACCCCAATTTCATACTGAGTATAATTGCCATGTTTTAGGTATATTTTCAAGTACTGTACATGACAACAGTAAACCTCTACAAGTGTTTGAATGCACATAGATATATCACCAGTTGTAAAGATGTAAATATCAGCCATGAAGATTTTTCAATTGTGTACATATGTGAGTGCATACATACATATGCATAACATCTGTGCCTTAATTTGATGTAATCCCAATTGATTCTCAGTTAGCCACATTTTCTTTTTATGAACAAGGATATAAATTATAATTGCTGTATATTTTTTTCACATTTTGAAAAAAAAAAAAAATAAATAAATAAATAATTTGGAACTTCCTTACTTCAGAATATATAATGTTGACGCCAGAAGCACCATCTGTGAAAAATATGTAATATTTGTGTTCTAAAACGATGACGCTGATGTTCAACGGAAATTTTTAATAACTTTTTCCAAAACAAGCATATTTTAAAATATATAATTAATGGTATATGCAAGAGGAAAAAAAGTCATTTAGCTAATACTTAGTGACTGATATTTGCCAATAAAAATGAAAATCACAAGCATACAAAAACAAATGTCAGCCACTGTATTTGAGGTACAAACATCTGTACAAAGTACTGTTATAAAGTTTAAATACACAATTATCTGTGTTCCAGGAATGAACTAATCTGATTTAGATTAATTTCTTAATTTCTATGGCAAAAAATTTTTTCCGTTTCACAAATATTTTGGCTCCTGAATGGCCTTTAGAAACGAATTCATGAATAGAGATTTTGCTGTATTTATTACACTGTATACATAATTTGGTGATAGGAAGTAATTCAATATATAATAAATATAGGTATTAGATATGTGCATAATTATTACATTACATATAAAGATATAAAAACTAAAAAACATTTAAATAAATACTATTAATATTATACAATTGCTGTAAAATTAATCGGCTAATATTTACTGTACAGTAACCCTTAGTTTTTGTCTGGAAAAATCACCAAGCAGTATAGGTTGTTCGTGAAATCTGCAAGCTCACTGCACAAAATAAGTTTTTCGGTAACCCTAATGCTCATAATGTTGGTGAAACTAGCCTTGGAAAAATTTTGATTTTTTCCTTTAGTTTTTGTCATTAACACAGGATTATTTCTGTGAATATCAGCAAACAAATTGTGACAAATTTAGATTTTGGCTACCTTTTGTAATAGTAATCCTTTCCTATGAACCCGGGTTTGGTTTTCAATTGATGTGTTTGCTTGTACGTGCGTGATATGGTCTTGGATTTTGAACTTATTATTTTGCTGTGGATACCATCATTTGAGTATGTCTGAGGTGGGTAAGAGGATGAATGCTGGTTAACAGCAGATGAGGCGAAACGACAAAAAAAAATTAATTGAATTGCTGGAGGACGGAGGAGATGGTGGTGGGAAGCCTAAATGCATGCACATGAAAAAAAGTTATATTATTAAAAAATTGACTTTCATTTATTTATTCGTCTCTTTGTGTTAATTTTTGTTAATAGATCCGTTGTTTAATGTTTTTATGTTAGAAAATATGTATTTTTGGCTATTTATTTCTCTCTGTTTGTGTATTTTTGGTTATTTGTTCATCTCTGTGTGTTAAGACAATAGCAAATTTTTTTCTGGTTACCATAATAGTTTTAACTTTGTTTTAGCTTCCTGGTTTTGTTTAAATGAAAATAGATCGATGTGTCCATGGACAAAGTTAAGGTAGTGCGCAACCCCAATTTGTGCAATTCTCTGATTTTTTTAAAAGTGAAAATAGGTCAATGTGTACATGAACACACAGTTTGTGTAAGTCTTTGACTTCTTATTTTGGTTTTGTCTAGCAGCCATCTTGAAACTGTTGCAGATCCTTCTTGGTGCCGATCTTGACGTCAAAAAAGAAATGATTCACCAAGGAATACCATAAATTTTTACCAATTAATCAATTCCATAATAAAATATATTATAAAAATTATAAACCATTGCAAATAATTATACTGTATTAGCATATACAAATATAACTTTTTTTTAATGGACAACTTGGATTTTCACAACAGCTGTGTTTTATAACTTGTCCCAATTAATTTATACATGAATACAATTTTAAAGTTTTACTACAAGATGATTGGCTTCTAGCTGATTCATAAGAACACAAGTGAGAAACTAATTACAATATAACATCACACTAGGGAACAATTTCTGTTGAGCTTGATCTTGAACAGGCACGTTGATTTCAAAACTGTAATTAGTTTTCTTCTACCATGTCAAGTTTTTTTCCTCTACACTTTATGTGATTGTAACCATTCTCTGCAGCATGAAGTCTGGATCACTTTCCCATTGGCTGACCAGCAACAGTCACATACTTGTCTCGACTAGTTCAGTTATGGCTGATATAGTGAAGCGCATTCCACCATAGAGTCTTGGGTACAAGGTTAGCAGTGTTTAGTTTTTATTTATACACAAAATGAAACCTATCTTTGTGTCTACATGTTCTAAATTTTTATTTGGTATACATATGATTTAAGCAAGAGCCTAAAGCCTCAAATGACTGTAATTTTTATACAGTGAAAATGTCAGAGGATGTAGCAAGAAAGACAAATGTAAAATACACTGGTGTGCAAAAATTAAGGACGAGACGGTTTTTTTCAATATAACTTTGTACAAAAGCTTTCCAAATCAACACATTTAATACCGTAAGATCCCCAATACGTAAGGACATGAGTAATGTAAGCAACACTTACTAAAAGAGAAATCAGAGGGATAAAAAGAAGCTTTATTGAAAAAGTAGCATGGAGCACAATGCGATTGAAGGCCGAAACATCCCCGTGATGGGTGTCCAGCAAGAAACATCCGGTCTTTAATAGGGGATATGATCTTCCCTGACTGCTAGGCAGGTTTCACAGCATCTGCCCATGCTGAGAATGAGGGTGTCAATGAGTTGTTGAGGCATTGCTGCCCATTCGTCTTGCAGCGCCAATCGAAGTTCCGGAATCGTTACTGGTGGTAAGGTACGAGCTGCCAAGCGTCTGCCTAGAAAATCCCATACATGCTAGATGGGATTGAGATCCGGAGATCATGCCGGCCAATCCATACGTTCAATATCCTCACTATCTAAGAGCTCTTCGGCAGCTACCGTACGATGACATGGTGCATTGTCGTCCATGAAAAGGAACTGCAGACCCATAGCACCTCTAAAAAGACGCACGTACAAAAGAAGAATCTCGTTACAATAACGGGTCCCGTTGACTGAACCTGCGTCGAAGATGTGAAGGTCTGTACGACTACCAAGCATGATGCCTCCCCAAACGAGAACACCGCCACCTCCATACCTGTCCCTTTCAATGATGTTCGAGGGATGATTGCGGCTTTCCTGCTCTCTCCAGATGAGTATGCGATGAGAATCGCTACTCAGACTGAATCTGCTCTCATCTGTAAAGAGTACTCGTCCCCATTCATTGTCTCTCCAATTCCGGTGTTCCCGGTACCACAGAGAACACCTTCTCCGATGGGCAGGCGTTAGAGGTACACACCGTACAGGGCGTCGTGCAAACAAACCACCACCATGCAGTCTTCTGGCCACGGTAAAACGCGATATCGATCGTCCAGTCGCCTGTGTCGTGTGTCTACCGATTTCTCCCGCTGTCTGCCGCCTGTTTCTTCTGGCCTGTAAGGCAATATACAGGTCATCTGCGGGTGTGGTTCCTTGTGGACGACCACTACTAAACCTCCGGATAGCTGTTCCTGTAGTTTGAAATTGTCTCCAAAGTCGTGAAACGATGCTGTGAGCAATTCCAAACTCTGCAGCCACACTTGTCACACTGCGGCCTTCCTCCAACTTCCCAATGATTCGACCTCGGGTAAAAGCATCCAGATGTCGTCTAACAGATTGATTATTCGCCTTTTCTCACTGAGGCAGCAACTCGGTGTGATTTTAACTGCTATACGGCGTGCAAGCTCTCTGCCAGAAATACTGATCTTACACCGACAACATGCTTTATACTACTTAGACACTCCCCCATTACGTCTACCTGCATATCTGTGCATGTGCTACCGTACATCACCTTACTTAATCTCCTGATTGGTCTTTCTGTTCGCTCTGCCTCTTCGTTCAGCTGATATGCTAATTTTTCAACTTCGTCCTTAATTTTTTCACACCAGTGTAGGGTATCCTATTTTACCACCTGCTATATGACCATTGCATCACTCAGCTACACTCCCAGATACAGTTTTCAAAGAATCACTCTTTGGAAATACAGGAATACGATTCTGGTGAATATTGAATTGACCCCAATAACAAAGATTTTTTGAACAATTTCGCACAAGATTTGGAATTATTCAAAAAAGTTTCAGAGCTGTTAACATCAACACTGCAAGAAAAGCCTTCTTGAGAAAGGAGCTAAGGCATCATACTTTCGATCAAGAGAAATTGCATTTCTGCAATACATGGTTTAATAGAAGATGGGAATTTCTGCCCATAATTAAACTCAATGGCAATTGATATCATTGATAGCTCAAAGTGGAGTTTGAAGTGTGTTCTGATCCACAATGGAAATTTATTTGGTGCAGTCCCAATAGGCCATTCCGTTTGTTTGTGTGAAAAATATGAAGACAGTCATCGTTTTGTTGCAATATCACATGAACCAATGGATCACCTACATTGATCTTAAAACGGTCTGCTTCCTTCTTGGCCAATAACATGGATAGACCAAGTATCAATGTTTGTTATGTATGCAAGACGAGAAAGCTCATGAGAAGCATTGGGTGCAGTTGAATAGGCCACCAAGATCTGATGTGAAACCTGATGATCCAAACATTCTACATTCGCTACTTATCAACAGAAAGAACATTATACTTCTACTTCTGCATGTAAAAACCAGGTGTCATGATACAATTTCTTACAGCTTTGCTAATTGAAGGAGACTGTTTCAAGTATGTGATTTCAGCATTTCCCAGCATGTCATTTGAATAAATAAAAGCCTGCTGTGTTTAATTGTCCACAGATTCGACAGCTCCTTAGTGATGAATATTTCATTGGAACAATGACAGAACTTCAAAAGAATACTCGACTGGCATTCAAAAACATAGTGAAAAACTTTCTTGGAAATGCACAAGCACACAATAACAGTAAATCTGTGTATCAACTTTTTGAGAACTTCAAAATGCTCGGTTACAACATGAGCATCAAACTGCAATTTTTAGATTCATCTTGATTAACTTTCCAAAAAATCTTAGTGTAGTCAGTGGTAAGCAAGGTGAGTGAACGAATGAACCACAATTTGAAGGTCATGGAGGCATGTTACCAACATAGATGGGATGTACATATGATGGCTGACTACTGCTAGAAGAACCAAGGGAAAATATCCACACATTAAACACTCTAGAGAAAGTGATAAGCAAAAATTTTTACTTAATGTTTATCATTGGTATTAATTATTACACACATATAAATCATATTAAATACGTATGTTTTATCATTTGGTAAAAAAAACTGTACTGTTTATGTGAGCAAAATTTAACTTCCACTATATATATATATATAGCTTTGTATGAATAAAATTATTCTTTGTGAATAGTATATTTGATAAATTTTCCCTTTATGTATATATTTTGTATGACTTTCAAGACTAAAAGAGAATATTCTGTAGCTTAAAAAGTTGACATGAGAGACAAAACTAAAGTTTTATTTGGATTTCAGAGTCCAAAATTTAGCCAAAAACAAGTAACAGATCTAAGACAATGGAATTGCTGTTCCTCAGTGTTATCAATTCAGTTTGGAGATTTGGAGATATATTCTGGAACAATGTTTCAGAGAAAATTACAGCTCCATTATCTGGACTCCACTTATGCAAAATTTTTATTATTTATATCACTTATTCTTCTATTGAGAACTGCTGTTAATTTATTTACATATTTTTTTCAAAGATTTACATAACACAATAATAAAATAAAGCAGTAGTTTATTAGAAGCTATTAAATTATTGTAATTAAATGAGTATAATATATTTATTGGCTGACAATGAAAAAGTAACTTATTAAAAGCCAATAAATCCCTACATTCACTACATTGAATTGAATGGTGTGTCACTGCACATGACTAAAATGTCATCATATATCACTTCCCAAATATACAGCTTATTAAAAGAAAAGCAACTGTGTATAATATGCAATCTTACTATTTTTTGTTTATGCTTCAAATTACTATTTAGACATAACAAGGCCTTCATTTATAAAACACACTATTTTATAAAATTAGCTAGTCTTAAAATATTTGTTTCACTAAACTAGTATACTTCAGTAGACAAAATATCTATCTTACAATATGTATCAATCATTTACTTTCCACTAACATTTTAATGTACACCAGTATTTTGTGCATAAAACTTTTTACAACTTAACATACATTGCTCCCCAAATTAAGAATTTCCCCATTTTTACTGTATTATCATTGCGCAAATAAAACAAGATAAAAGAAAAATAATAATATTCTTTGTTTACATTATAATAAATACATATTTGAGTTACAGAATAAAAGAAAAAATCATTCAAACGGAGAGATTTCCCAATTATATGGATAGGCAGCGACCTTATTTAATTTGGATAGCAGCAGCTCTGCTATATTTTATGTTACACATGAGAAACCATGAACAGACACATACAATTAGTCTCTCGGATAAAATTAAAAGTTAGAGAATACTATTAGCATCCTGCTGGTTTATTGTGAAACATTTGTTAATAACTGATACATGCCCAAAAATGAAATTAAACTAAATGCGTCAACTTTTAATATGTAATTAAATAATTTAAAATTGGATACATCCAGCATTTTTAATGAAAACAATGAAGGTATTAAGATACATGATACTCCCCAACTAAATAAAAGAAGTCATTAAGAAACTAATAAGTGACGCTCAGGAACTATACCATATCAACTAATTCCCATTACCAAGCTATAAGCAACAGAAGTCCAAACATTTATTCGATACTACTCTTTTATAGCCCATACAGCCACAAATAAAGGTATAATATCTGCATTTAACAAAAACTACTGTGCGTGGCCAGATTATCGTCACCCATATACTGAATTGAAAATTTGCATAATAGTTATTGTTAGTTTCATCTGAGCCGCAAAACATGCAATCAAGATGGGCAAAAAAAAGGTAGAGAGAGGGAAACAAATTATTGTACATTTTTCGGAAGCAAATTTTCTAAATTATTACTCATTACATCAGCACACATGTCAAATTCACAGATTACCTCTATGATTTCTTTCCATTTTAATTTCAGAAAATTTATATTAATCGCAGCATATGATAGTGATTAGATGCCAAAAAATAATTTTTCTGAAATTGGCAAAAAGATTTACTATTCTACCATGCACAAATCCACAATTTCATATTAAAATAAAATAACAATATAACATCAGCTCTCAACACTTCGCATTTCGTAAATTCAAAATACGAATCATTTTATGTTGCCACACAGTTTTTGCCACTTTGTATTACAGACAGCAAGGAGGTTAGAATACATGGAGATGGCGTCTCTGCTGTCGCAATACGAGGAGAGTGAAGCCAGGGGAAGCAAATAAGCCACGCCTCGTGAGGGCAAGAAAACGCTTCCCTTACTATGTGAAGTGAGGTTAAACGTCAGCTTGTTTGAAGTTTTGAGTGTGTTTTCTGATTTCTTATGTGAAGACGTGAGAGGGTTATAAGGTACTGAATGGTTACATTGAAATAATGTCTACATTTCGGATTTCATTTCCATATAAAAGAATGTTTTTTTAACATGCATAAATAAGTAGAATAATTGAAATGTGCGTTTGAAAAGCCGTCAGAAAAGAGTTTGAGTATTTTCTCGGTGTGACGTGCGCGAAGAAACATCTATAATTCTCAGATTTTTCTTCAATTAATGGTTTGAGTATTATACTCGTAATTAACTGAGTTGTAAAAGCAAAACGGTAAGTAAACAAGGGAAGGGGGAGTGGTCAGCTCATCGTGGAAAAGAAAAACGCGTTATTTTAAAGGTGTGTGATCATATTATATTACAAGTCATATTTTATGTATTTAATTTTATTTTCTGTTCAAGTAAATATTTAATAACAGGATTTAATTTGGGGTTAAATTTGTGGGAGTTTTAAAAATAACAATGCAGAATTTAAATATTATATTCATTGTGTACTGATGCATCAGACTGGGCTATTTATTGTCTCGGTACTACAACAATTTGAAGGAGGAAACTGCAAACCAATTACTTTCTATTCAAAGAAATTAAATGATGTTCAGAAATCTTATAGCACCTACGATCGTGAAATCGTGGGTATATATATACATACCTTTCAGTGAAACATTTCAAGTACATGCTAGAAGGTAGAGAATTTGTAATTATAACGGATCACAAGCCATCGACCTTCGCCTTTAAGCAAAAAAATACGAAAGCGTCCCCGATACGACTGCATCAACTACAATACATTTCGCAGTTCACCGCAGATATTCGGATAATTAATGGACAAGAAAACGTTCTTGCGGTCACTCTATCAGAAATCTCTGTTATTTAATATGAACAAATTGTCGTAGAACAAAGAACAGATCCAGAATTGAAAGATC